CAACTAAATTAAGTTTAAGAATGCTGATTGATATATTATTACTTAATTCTGACTTTTCATTATCACGAAAAATAATGTTATTATTAAGTAAAAGAAATTCTGTTCCATTTCTTCAACCATCATTAAAAGCTTCATCATCATCATATCGCTTTGTTTCGGATATTATTCATGTTTGGAACTATTCAATACCAACAATTCTTTCATTTGGTATTGGTCCATGTTCAGGAAAATCAACAAGTCTAAATAATATTTTTCTTTCATCATTTGAACAATCATGTTCAAGTATTTATTTTCAAAATACAATTGATATTGATTTTGGTTATGGTTTTCTACCTCTACGATCAATGAGTATTGCTGATGCTCATGGTTCAATGAAGAAAACATTATTGAAAACAATTCATGAACTATTTGATGGATTTCTTATTCATGTTAAGTTTGAATATCTTTTTAATAACATTGGTACAGTTATGGATCAGTTAACGATGATTATGATGCAAGAAAAATATTTATTATTGATCATTCGAGATGTTCCTAAAGAAATTAATACTGATCAAACCATTATTCAATTGAATAAGATTATTCAAAATCAAAAGTATCAATTAACAATTATTCAAGATACTTCTTCAGATAATCACCTTCAACGTTCAAGTCTTTCATCATCGGAATACCCCACACTCCCAGCATATTTTCTACCCGATATTTCAAATCAAGGTGATCGTATCAATAAAAATCATGTCATAACATTACGCAATCAAATCTTAGATCAACTACCTACTCAATGCATTTATACCATGGATTCGATAAAGAAAGAATTAAAGATTTTAATGAATGATGATTATAATAAGCATTTAAGAGAAGTTAATCAAATGATAAAACCATTGACAGATAAATTATTCGTTACTCCTTTAGATGAAGATTGTGTATCAAAATATTTTCCTGAATATTTACAATTTGTTCAATTATGTGAATTAAAACTGAAATCAACACGTTTCAATTTTTATGCTTCTGAAAACGATGCTGATGTTTATCAAGTTCGCCAACAAATTTTTGAATTAGAAGCAGCTTCACAAACTGGTAATCAATCATTAAGTGTTATTTTTCAAGTATTTCTTGATATTCTCAAAGCATCTGATTTAATCACATGTCTAGAATTACTTAGCACACAATTAAAAGAAGAACGTCAGCGTTTAGTTTCAACAAGTGATATGGCCACACAATTACCTATTCAAAAATGTTTCTCTTTAGAAGTTTTATGGCGTAATGCTATTGTTTGTAGTCAACATCAATCATCAGACATTCAGAAATTTCTTCACAAACAATATTTTGATTATATTGAAGCCGGTTATCCATTTGAAATTATTGATGGAGATAACTTCCATTTTCAACATTCATTTTTATTTCAATCTTTAATGCCTTTTCACAATCAACGAACATTAGTCATTAGTATCATTGGACCACAAAATTCTGGCAAAAGTACTTTATTAAATTACATGTTTGGTACATTATTCGATGTTCGTGATGGTCGATGTACTCGAGGTATTTATGGATCATTTGTTAAATCAAATCGAACTGATTATGATTATATTCTATTAATTGATACAGAAGGCTTATTAGGCATCGAAAGAGAAGATAAAGAATATGATCGTCGAATAGTTTTATTTTGTTTAGCTGTTTCACATATTGTGATTGTTAACATGGTTGGAGAAGTTAGTGCAACATTACAAGAAATGTTAAAGTTATGTGCTGATTCATTAGATAAAATTGGTGCAACAATAATTCCACGACCTATTGTTCATTTTATTTTAAATCAAAAAGCAGATTTAAATATTGATAACAATAAAGCAGCTATTGAAAAGATTATCAATGATTTGAAACGAGAAGGTCTAGATAAATCAATCGATATTCGAAAAGAAACATTTCATACACTTCCATCAGCATTTCAAAAAGAAGGACAAACATTAACATCAAATCCAAAATTATCAAATGTTGTTAAAACAGCACCAGAGTTTATTGAATGTGTTCATCAGTTGACTGGTAAAATTCTTAATCCAACAGATTCATCGTTAAGACGAACATCAGAAATTTCTGATCCTCTTCAATGGTTATCATCATCAATAGCAATATTTGATACATTACAAAAGTTTCCTGATTTGACATATTATCAAGATATTAATGAACGACGTATTGATAATGAATTACGAGAACATATAAGAAATAATTTAATTAAAATGTTTTCTTCGGTTTATCGTGATAAGTTAATCGTTGAATCATTACATAAAAAAGAAGATGAAATAAAAGAAATTTTTCTCGGTCTTCAATCAAAAATTGATAAAACTGCTCGACAAGATATGGAAAATTTATTTAAACTATTAAAAGTACCTGAACCATTACGAAAACGAAGTCAACAATTTCTTAATGTACAAATAACAGAAATGCTTAATGCTTTACGAACATCGACAATTGCTGCAAATGAAAGAGAAAAAGTTAAACTACTTGTTCGAAATGGTGAAGGAGATTTACAAAAATTAATTGAAGATACAATTGCACGTGGAATACAAATGTCAGAAGATATTGCTGCACAAGAATTTGAAAAAATGTATAAAACTACAACTAACTATATTCAAAGCAAATATATACCACAAGAACGCCTAAAACAAGCTATGAAACATATTTATACAAATTATAATATTTATGAAAAAGAATGTTTAGTTGAATATGCACATATTATTGATCATTTAACTTTATTAACTAATTTAAACGAAACTAAAGTACCCATTAATGAATTAGAAGAATCACTAATTATACGTTTTGCTTGTCTTGGTTACGAGCATTCTTCGGTATCAGCAAATCATTTCAATCCAACAGGAACAACTATTTATTCATTAGATATTATCAACAATCTTGTCTATCTAAATAAAGAATTATTAAGACAAAAATATTATGAATTTATTGATAAACCTAGTCCACAAAGAGAAACCAACAGTAGATATAAAGATAATCAGTCAACTCAAAGTAAAAATCCTGTTATTCGAATATGGGATGTAGCCAAGGGACAATTCGTCGATAAGAAAGACAATAAAGATGAATCACATTTAACAGTGAAAACAATAGATCAATTCCAAATGCATGCAAGACAAGCTATTGAAAAACAAAAACCTGTAACATTACGAGAATCATCTATAGATGAACGACAAATGTATTTACCTATATCACGAATATTTAAAGAAGTAACTCAACGAATCATCAAAGCTATGCAAGGTGTTGAAAAGAATGAAGTACGACAAATTCGAACTGAATTAATACAAAAAATAGTTGGATCGATTAATACATTGATTATTGAAATTAAAACAGAATTAAGTCCATTTTGTTTAGAATTATCTCGTCAGTTAAAATCAACATTACACACATGTGCTATTATTTTATTAACAAAATATTATTATGATGAGCAAATGAACCATTTCTCTGAAACATTAGCAGAATTACAAATGAAAAAAAATAATTTGAAAACATATTTTATTAGCGTTGTTGTTCCAAATTCTTCAACTGATACAAATTATGCTATCAGTCTTGGTCAACAATTTCGAGAACATTTAATTCAATTATTTAGTAAAGATGCTGATCGTATTATTGAAAATGATTTAAAACCACATAATAATCTTAATCGTAAATGGGTTCAAGATCGTTGCGATGGTTTATTATTAACCAAAAATGATTTATCATGGCATTTAGATTATATTTCAAATCCAACTAAAATTATTGAAGAATTTTTTAATGAGTTATGGAAAAATGTTGAAAAAGGAATCAATCAAAATTTATCAACTAAAAAATCTTCATATGTATCATTAATAAGTGAATTTTTCTATTGTATTCAAGGTAGGTTCATTTCTAAATCATACGTCTAATGTTTTTCTTTCTTTTTTGTAATAGGTATGTTGGATACTGTAAAAAACTTAGGTGCACCAACAAGATTTGTTAATGAAACATTTCTTTCAGAAAAAAATAATTCATTAGATGCTAATCAAAATTTAATTAATAAACAAAAATGTATGACTAACTTACTATATCAGTATTTATCAAAAGGAAACATTCCAAAATCAGTCACTGTTGATACAAAAGTTTATAATGTCAAACCAGATACTTTTAGTGCTTTTCAATATTTAGTTCAAACAAGAAAACCTAGTTCTGAATTATCTCAATTAATTGAACCTCTTGAAGCTAATTTTAAGAAAATATCCATTGGAAACTTAGTAATGTTTTTAGAAACATTATTAAAAGAAAAAGATAAAATTGTTGATGATTTTAAACAATATAAAAGTGATTTTAAAAGTATTGATCGTCAAGATACTTATGGAAGTTTATTAGATAAAGTTCGTGGATGTCCAAATCTTTGTCCATGTTGTAAACGACCCTGTGATGTTGATCATACACAAATTAAATCAAATCCTGGTTCATTACATAATGAACATCGTTGTTTAACTGGTCATACGTTACGTGCAATGAATGGTTATAAATTTGAAGGCAGTGGTGATGCATCATTATTTATGTGTGAACAAATTAAAGATGATCAAATTCTAGTAATCGGTCCAACACGTTATCAATGGTCACAATTTAAACAAGATCATTCGGATTGGAATTTTGAATCAGCATTAACCGACGATGAATTATCAAGATTACATGGAAAATATTTAACTGTTTGGGAAAAAGTTGGACCAAAACTGTGTAAACAATATGGAATGAATTATGTCACACATAACTCGTCACCTAAAGTTACTTATCAATCATTTCATTATATTTTACTTTTGGATGGATCCGGATCAATGGGTGGACAAAGATGGAATCATTTAATGGAAGCTGTTAAAGAGTTCATCAAACGTCGTACGGAACTAGCAACGAATGATCGAATTACAATCATTGTTTTTAATGAAAACGCTAAAGTTGCTTTTTCTGACGAAGGAGTTCCTAATATTAATGTCGAAAATATCAAATTTCCAAGTGGTGGCACATCATTCACAGCGGCATTTAAATGTGTGAATGATTCTATCACTAAACTTAAAAATACGACAAGTTCAAACCATGTACATGAAAATTTTGCTATTATATTCATGAGTGATGGAGAAGATATTTTTCCTGAATATGAATTAGATAAATTACTCAAAGAACATGAACCCGTTATAAAACGATTTTGGACAATCGCATTGGGCGATGACAAATCTTCACATAAACAAGTCTTAGAAAAAATAAATGTAAAAATGAATGGTTCATTTTATGATGTAAAAACGTCTGCTGATTTGATTCAAACGTATGCTGAAGTAGCATCAAGCACTCAGCCATCACTTCTTACGTCAATACGGAATTTAATTCCATATTAACAGTTATTCTTCTTAGTTTATCTAATTTTCATTTTCGATGTTTTAATTTAATAAAACTTTTCTTATTTGTTATCGTAGAAGATTAAATCATACAATTATTTATTTACTGGATTGTTACAAAAAAGAGATCGTGAGGGTTAGATGTGTGTACCCTGACAATAATTTAAAAATCAAGTTTTTCGTTTGGTCGAGTATTATTTTATTCATCATAGACAACCCTACACATAATATACTATAGTGCATGGTTTCAACTGTTTTTTTCTCATAAAACAATTCGAATCGAAGCCGTAAGAGTGAACAAAAAATAAAGTACTAGTAGTTTGAAACAAGTAATATATTACAGTTAACATAAGAAACACCAACCCACTTAGGGCAGTTCGATACTAGTGTGAGTCTTATATCATATTTTTGTATAAGACGCTTGGAAAAATTTTGTATTTTTAAGAACAGATAGAGCACCTTTTATTTTGCCTTTTTATGCTATTTGATCACTATTCAATTGATGTAATAATAATAAAATTTGGGTAAGAACAGTTTTTACTGAAAATCAGCTGGAAGCATTAGATCATAATGAGTGTGAAACTTTTGCATTCTACCTTATCAACACTTAAGAGAGTGGCCACGACAGGGTCAAGGAGCCAAAACACTGATCAAAGTTTAAATTTTTGATTTTTTGTGTACATTTGAAAGATCATTATTTAAAACTATCAAACCCACAATTTTAGCTCATTTGAGTGTATTATAGGTCATTTTATCGATTTTTTCTTTTTTTTGTACAAATTTGACGATAATTTCGTGTAGTTGATAGTGTACCTGTTTATGGAGTGTTTCTCTCTTATTTCTTATTTCTTTCTATTGTTCAGCCCTTTTATTTTAATTTTATCTACTGACAGTAAACAACGAAAAACACAACGAACGTGTAATAACAAAATAATCACATAAATTCTCCAGTAACTTAAAGTCAAACATTAACTAACATTTCAAAGATAGGTGTATTTAAGAGATGTTATTATACAGGTCGTTTGCGATTAGAGAAAATAGAAAAAATTCTTATGGAAATTTTTCCTAAAGTTGGTTAACTGTTCTCCATCAAACATGTATCATTCTTTCTCTCGTAGCAAAGAAAATAAACCATTCCATTTTGTTTTTTCCTTTCTACTAACGAATCACTACTTGGTATTTTCCTTCTTTTTCATTCCTGTAATATTGATGTAGTGATGGGGAAAAGATAATAATCGAGAGCGAGAAAGAGAGAGAGAAAATACTACATAAAACTATTTTCATTTTATTTATTTCCAATTGTATTTTGTTGTAGAGACGTAAAACATAACAATACATTGCAGAGATGGCCCAATCTACGGATCCAGATCAATATGATTATGGAATAATGCATGATCAAGAAACACAACAACGTATGCTTGATGAATTTAATAATGAAATTCGAATCAAAGAACGGGAAAAAGAGAGTTTAAAGAATGAAATAAAAAAATATGAAGATCAACGAAAAGAATTATTAGCTGAAGAGGAAAAACATGAAAAACGTATTAAAGAATTAGAAGAATTAGTTCGACGTGAAAAAGAAGAATTAGATAAATTAGATCGAGAATTAAAAGATTTACAAAAACAAAAAGATGATATGGAAATGGAACTTGAACGACAACAAGAAATACTTGAACAACGTGAAGCTGAACTTGAAAAAATGACTGATGAATTAGAAAAATTAAAAGATTTATTAGAAGAATATACTGAACAAAAAAATATACTTGAAGAAAAACGAGAATTATTACAACATGAACGAGAAGAAATTGAACGAAAAATCAATGAGCTTCAGGGACAAATTAAACAATTAGAACAAGAAATGAAAAGTCTTGAAGAACGTATTCGATTAATTGAAGCTGACATTAAACGTATGGAATATGAATTAGAACATATTCGTGAAGATATTCGACGAACTGAACAAGAAATTGAAAGATTAGAAAATGAAATTGAAAAAACACAACAACAAGTAATAAATCTTGAACGAGAATGTGATAGATTAGATGACGAAATTAATCGAATTGAAGATTTAATGGAACGAATTCAAAGAATTATTGAAATGAAAGAAAGTGATAAAGAAAGATTTGAACAATTAAAAAATGATCTTCAACGAGAATTAATACAAGCTGAAGCAAAACGAACTCAAATTCAGGCAGAGCGACAACGATTAGAACAAGCGGTGAAAGAAGTTCAGGAAACAATTAAACCGCTTCAAGATAAAGTAAAAGATATATCTAATAAAATAACGAAAAAAGAAACTGAGTTAAGAAAACTCCAGCAAGCTGTTCAACAAGCTAAGTATGTGTCATTTTAGTTAGAATTAAATCTATTTCAAAGATACAAATAGAAAGAATTTCATCACATTGTTGGTGTGGATGAGTGTGAGTGTAGTTGAAGAACAGATGCCTACGCCCGTACCAACACCCACATCCAAACTCATCCACTCACATCCATCCTACCCCACCCTGCTTAAAAGAGAAATATAATGCCGAACTGCAAATAATGGATAGATTTGGATTTAATTTTAATATTTATTCTTTGTTTCTAGAAACAACGTCACTATGAAAGAAAAAGAATTAAATCAATTGAAAGAAGACAGTAGAAAACTTGTTGAACAAATAAAAACTCAAGATAACGAATTAAAAAGAATGGAAACAATGAAGAAAACTTTAGATGATCAACAAAAACAATTAGTAGATGAATTAAAAACAATTAATATTAATCTGGACAAAGCCAAGAAAGATAGAAATGATTGTTTAAAACAATTAAAAGATCATAAACAAACATTAAAAAAATATCAATCGGAACTTAAAACTGCTAAAGACAAAGAAAAGAAAGCAGCTGAAGCATTAAAAAAACAAGAAGAACAAGTTACTGCTGCACAAAGAAAACTTCAAAGTTGTACTCAAAAAGAAGTCAATGCAAATAAAGATCTTCAAGCAGCTGAAACTGCTGTCAAAGAAAATAAATTAGTCGTAGAATATCAACAAAATTTATTAAGAAAAGCTGAAATAGAATTAGCAGCATATGAAGCATATCTCGCAGCAAATCCCAAAGCATCAAGAGCTGAATTATCTGTTAAACAAAATACTGTTGCAACATGTAAAACAAGTTTAAGCAATGCGCAAGCAAAATTGACAAATAGTGAAAAATTTCGAGATCAAAAACGTCAAGATTATAAAACAGCACAAGACAATAAGAAGAAAGCCGAAGATAAATTAAATGAAGAAACAGGAACACTTAAAAAAAGACAAGAAGAATTAAGAACTCAAAATGTTGAAGTTGAAAAAGCAGTAAAAAAAGTAAATGATCAAGAAAAATTAGTAACAAATACTGAAACTCGACATAAACAATTATCTGATCAAGTAACAAAAATTCAAGGTGAAAAAGAAACAAAAACTAAAGAAATTGATAAGAAAAAAGGTGAAATAATTAATCAACAAAAAAAAATTAATACTATTAAAACTACATTAAAAGAATTACAAACTAAACAAACAACTAATAACAATAAACAAACAACAACATCCAATCAATTAACAAAATTAAAAGAAGAACATAATAAAAAAATAACTGAACATAAGAAACAATTTGATGATATTGAAAAAGATAAAAAGGAACGAGATACAATAAAAAAACAAATTCAAGATAAGCAAAATGAACTTAATAAAAAAGAACAAGAACTTACAAAAAAATTAAATGAAGAAAATGTTATTAATGGTAAAATACAAAATACTCGACAAAATTTAACAATGATTAGTAAATCTATTGGTGAATTAAGATCTGATTTACGTGAACAAAAAAATAATCAAGATAAAGTTAATAAAGAAAAATCTAAAAAAGAACATGAATTACAAACAACGAAAAGTAAAATAGAAAAATATGAAAATGAAATTGAACGAAATGAAAATGATCGAAGACGATATGAACGTGATTTAAATATTAAACAACATGATTTAAATGAAAAACAACGTGATCATCAACAATTAAAATATACTTTAGATCAACATCAATATGAAATATCATCAAAAAGATCTGAAATTAGTTATTATGAACAAAGTAAAACAAATTTAGATGCTGATTTAACAAAAAATAAAAGTCAGATTAAAGCATTCGATGGCAAAATAAAAGATGTTTCAAAAAATATTGATAAACAAGAAAAATCGAAACAAAATGCTGAACAACAATTTAAAGATGCTGAACGTGATGTAAGAAGTACAAGAAGAGAATTTGAAAAATTAGAAAAAAATTTCAATGATTTTGAAAAACGTTATAATGAAAGTAATAATCGACATAATCAAGCAATTAATGATTTAACAACAGCTCGTAATGATAAAAGTTCGATTAGTCATAAATTAACTGAAAATCAACGATTCATCGGTATACGAGAATCAAAAGTTCAGCATATTGCTCATTCTGTAGCATTGAAAGGAACTGAAATGTCAGAATATAAAGACAGACAAGGGCTAAATAATCAAAGTGATGCCGACAAAGAAAATCAAAAAGAAGAAAACATTCAAGAAAAACCAAGTTTCCTACCAAGATTCCAAGAACAATATCAGGAAAATCGACATTAGAAATTTTTTTGCATGTTTGGTTTTTAAACACATAAGTAGATCTTTTCTTTTTTGTTTTTTTATTTAGTCAAGATTGTTCAATATGAAGAAATAAGCGATTTTTTTCTTTTCAGATATCTTTTAATCATGCCTGCACTGATATGGAAATATTTATCGATAACAAAAGATTCTTACGGTATAGTGAATTTAGATAAACAATGTTTACAGACAATTCGAGATAAGTTCGATGAAATTTATGAAGATCGTGATCGTGATGATGATGATTTGAAAGATGAATACATTGTAAAATTAATTGGTGAATTAGGATTAGTTAATGATCAAACTAGTTCAGATTATTTAAATATTTGTGTATCGGGATCAATAGAATATGCTGAACAAGGAATTAAGAATAGAATTCGAGCAGACAGGGAAATAATAAAATTAATACCAACAGATCAAGTACAACCTGATCCAATAATTCATCCACAAATATCTCCAAATCCTACTGAACCTCGTAAACAAGTTGCAGAACAAGAAGTCACTCCATTAGATAAAATTATCTGTATTGTTCATCAAAAATCCACTAAAATTGAAGTTGATGATTTTCTACGTGATTTTCTCTTTCGACAAGTTAATCAAAAATCAAAGTAAGTGGTAATCAATTCATTCAATCTATTAATTGAATTAAAACATTATATATAGTACATCGCCTGATGCAAATATTATTCAACCAATTTGCGATGGTACAATTCATTCATTATCTCAAGGTTCATTGCTTGATTTATTTATTCGACAACTAATGATCGATCGTGGAACAGTAACATTTCTAAATTCACAAACAAAATATCGTCTTGTAGAACCAATTAGTCTTACAGATGAATTTGAATCTTGGACATTTGATCATTTTCATGGTTTACTTGATTTTTGGTTAGCTATAGATTCAAATATTGAAACAAATTTTCCAAGTCCATGGACATTGAATCCAGATGCTCATATTGATTATATTATTGTTACTCAATTGACTAATGCTGATAATGATTCATCAGGAAAACATTCAGAACGTCCAAGCACAAAATCTTTAGAAAATTTTATTCGTGATATTTGTAGAATTCAAGCAAATGGGATGTTTAATACATGGTATAAAGCATTGTGTACTGAAGAAAATATTGCTACATATGCTCATTTAACCAATTTAAATCAAAAAGAATGGGATAGAATTGGTCGATTACCAATGAATGCATTAAAAACAATTAAATTTTATGTTGATCAAGAAAAACAAATGGTTGAAGAACGTAAAACGAAAAAACTGTCAGAAGATAAAACAAGTAAAATAAATTTCTTTGGAATATTTTAATAAAAACTTTCTTATTTCTAGTTGAAAATAAACCATATTCAAAAGCAGAAATACGTGCTAATTTACATATGATTAAATTATATTTTAATCGACAATTAGAAGATACAGATGGTATTGAAATAGTTCCAAGATTAGAAGCTTATTGTGTTGATACAGCATTTCAAGAAATGCGTGAAGAAGGTTATGAAGATGATGGATTATTCGATGAAATGAAATTATTTTTTCAACCATTAACTGTTACTGAAAAAGAATTAATTATTAATAAAAACACTTTATCAACATTATATCAAGAACAAGTAGCAGAGGGGATGGCATTAAAAGCAGAAATTGAGAAATTAAAACAACGTTTTACTGAAAAAGATAAAAAAATAAAGAAATTATCTAATGAAATCGAACAAATAATAATTAAACGTGATGCGGCATTTATCAAATATCAATCTGATTTAGACAAAGAAGAAAACGAATCGCTTAGCAAACAGTTGGAGTTGAATAACATTTGGGAAGTAAACGACGAACAGTGCGAGGAAGAAATCAATTCAAAGAAAGAGATACGCGCAAAATATGAAAAAGAATTACAATCTATTGAAAAAGATCGTATACATAACGAAAATTTATTAAAAATTATTCAGAAAAATCTTTCTTCGGATCACATGATCATTGACCGAAGGTTGGTCAAACCGCATCGAGGTTTCATTATGTATGGACCACCAGGTAATACACTAATTTTTTTTGAAATAATCCAAATCGAATTCTTTAATCAAAACAGGATTGAGGTGAAATTTTATATTAATGAGAAGAAGGCGTCGAATTACTCAATCAAGTTTTAACTTTTAGTTATGCTAATTTGTGAAGCCTGTTGAGGTATTGATTGATATAATAATTGTTCAAGCTAACAGCATGTTTAAAGTAAATTTCTAATAATGAAACGTTATATTAGCCTATGTAAAACATATCAGGTCAAACGACAACTAACCTATCTCTCGATAATCTTTGACCTAATATGGTATGCATAGACTAATGGAAACTTTTATTATGAGAAAGTTACTCGTAAACACGCTGCTGGCCTGACTGATTATTATATCAATTAACTACTCGATAAATTCTACTAATTGATATAACTAAAATTTAAAACCTGATTGATCAGTTCTAAGCCTTCCCTTGTGAGTGGTTAAGTTGTTCGAACCTCCATGTTACCAGACATAGAATGATCTTAGGCAAGTCACTGATAGCCGTTTATCTCGAATCACCCGTGCGATAGCATGCTGACTATGTAGTTGACATACATAAAAAGCTTTTGTGACTAGTCAATATATCCTAGCGGTTTAAATGATTAATCGAAAAAACTCTAACGAGGGAACATCCCCAACTGAAGGAAAGCTTTGGAGCTCAGACTCCGCGCATAAAGTAGATCCCAGTGAGGTATGAAAAACCCCAAAAGGATAAGTGCCCATGGGCCTTCTGTCCAGCGTTATAGGCATTTTACTGAAATTTTAGCCTATGATAGGGTATATATAAATAGATCGAATGACGGTATTTCGACCTGAGATTTTGCCCATAGAGAGGTCTATTGGTAACTAGAATACCCTGAAAATTTCAGCTGAAAAGAATGTTTTCTTCTCGAGATATGAAAGTATCAAAAAAT